CTCTTATAAAATTTATAAAATTTGGGGATTTTCTCTTAAACCTGGTAATCCAGAATCTCATACTAATGTGCCTCATTGTGGCCTTTGTACTCCTCCTGCTGGTCACACCATATGCCTTTGGAACCCAGTGCCCAAGCCTGTTGGGTCTGTTCCTTGAGGCCCATCTCCAGTAATCATCCTCCTACGGTTTCCTCTCTCTGGGACTTCCAGGAGTGGGTCTTGGGCTCCCTGAATTGACCCTTTAATATTCGTATCCTGTCTCTCTTTTTGCCTTTTTTTTTTTTTTTTTTTTTTGGTAGGAGCTTGTTTGTTTGTTTGTTTTTAAAGATTTTATTTATTCATGAGACAGGGTGGGTGGGGGAGAGAAAGGCAGAGACACAGGCACGTGTGACTCTATCCCAGGTTTCCAGGATCAGGCCCTGGGCTGAAGGTGGCGCTAAACCGCTGAGCCACCTGGCTGCTCTCTCTGCCGTTTGGCTCTGCTTTGGGGAAGTTTTGTTTTGTTTTCTTATCCCTCCGGGTTATAGAACTATAGCCAGAGCTTGTGCAGCCTCCGCGTTCAGGGTCCTGTCAGGGGGCTGCTGAGTCTTGGCTGCCTGTTGGTAATCACAGGTGCGCACCAAGACCGCATGTGGACGCACCAGGGGGCTTCTTGGTGGGCCTCACTGATCTTTCTCATCGGTGGCCCCCAGGCATCTGTATCTGTACGCTGCAGTTACAGAGCAGTTTCTCCAGAAAATGGTCCTTTGGTGGTGGTGGCCGGTGGCTGTGGCTCTTTCCTGATCTGAAACAGTCTCTTGTTTTTTTCTGGCCCTGGGACTTCAGGGTCCAGGGAGTGGTCTGGGCCCCCTGCCACCACCCCGCCCCTATGAGGCTTTGTCACTCATTAACCTCCCTGCATCTGCTTTCTCTCCCGCCGCCCTCCCCATTCATCCCAGTTCCAGCTTCCATGCCCTGTAGCTTGGGGGTGACTTTTCAAGGGGAAGAGTTGTCAGAAATGTTTTTACTATGCCATTTTTAAGCCGAAGGAGACACAAGGGAAACTGCTGAGGTAACAGGCCAAATGAGGTGTGGTGAGAGGAGGGAAGGCAGGGTCCACTCTGACCGCAGTGACACAGGGAGGTTTGCTTATGGAGTTAGAAGGTAAAGGTCAGCTGAGTTTTAACAGGTAGAATTGAAGGTAAGTTCACTTGAAGGAGAAGGAATTTCATGACATCGAAGCACAAAAAAATAAATAAATAAATCAACCAGTTTACCATGTCAGCATAGAGGTCTTGGACCCCTCACCTTGGAAGCTGGACGCCCTCACGCAGCTCCCAGGGACAAGAGAGATGCCTCGGGTAGTGTGAAATCCACTGGACAAGCTCTAGTATAAAAATCCAATAAGAAGCCAAATTGGGACAGTTTTAAAGAGCTTTAGCTGTCCGTCAGCATTAATTTTAAAAGCCCCACTTAATTACTGAAAATCGGGGTAAAACCATATAGAGAGCAGTGAAGCCTCAGAGAGGAACCCGATTCCCATTTTCTCGGAACACAAATGTTCTACTTGGTGTTAGGCGTTAGAATCTCTTAGAGTTTAGTGTTGTAAAAAATCATTTCTACATCAAAATTGTATTTGCCATCTTTTACTTTCCTAATTATCACATTTGGTTGTTTGGAAATTCTATGAAAAAGTAAATTTTAAAACTGATAACACTTTGAGCAAATTGCATACCAGTTGAAGTATTCACAGGTACTCGGCCCCCACTGGGAGAGCTCTGTCCTGCACGTTGGAACCCGATTGTGCCAGTCTTCTTTTTATCCTGTTTATTGGTTAATTGGTAACACCCTGTGCCTTCTGTAATTGTGAAGAATTTTCTGAGGAGAGTCTTAAAATGCACTTCAGCTCCACGCACGTGGTGTGAGAAAGCCAGGTGTCGGAAGGCTTGGTGATGCTGAGGGCAGCCGGCTCTGCGCAGGGCACCCTGGGTGGGTGTCGCCCACCTCGAAGTGTTGTCTTGGGTCTTTGGAGCACAGCACCGGGACTCCCTCCACCACATATGGACCGGTCAACAGTGTCTGGGGGTGAAATGAAAACCGTGAGTCTTTCTCCATCGGCTTCTGGCCGGATCGCTCTAGGGTGCAAAATTAGAACATTTGTTCTTTTCGGTTCTTGGTGTTGGCACTGTGCTGAATATCCTCACGTTCAAGCCCGGTTGGTCTGCATCGTCACTTGTGAGGAAAACATTATCTGTTAGTCCTGTTTTGTAACGCGGAGGCTCAGAGAGGGTCAAGGCCCTGAGCCTACAGAAGCGTCTAGTTGGTCTGGCGACTCACCCATTGAAAAGAAGCGGGAGGTTTTTACTTTCAAGTGTTTTCCTTCCTGTTCGTCGGTTTTACCTTCTCTTGCAGAGGTGATGGAGCTTTTCACGTTAAATTCTTAACATTCTCCTTGCCTTAACATTCTCGTTTGAAGACGATTCAAAAAAATCCCAAAATGACTATGGAGCTTGAGTCACAGGCCGCTCTTCTCTGGGGAATTGTAGCTTCTCGAATCTTGCTCCTGTGGTGCACGCTGGGCTCTCAAACAGCGATCTGTATGTATTATCCAGCTTCTGTAGTTACTTCATCTTGGGCAGACTTGCAACCTTCTGGGATGGGTTTTTGGCAGCTGTGGTCACTTAGGGTGCCATGGAGGATCTGTGTCTCTGCCTCTCTCATGAATAAATAAAATCATAAGTTAATTAAAATAAAATCTGTTTATCTGTGACTTCTCCCCCATATTCTTTTTATCATATCTTCTAGGATTACAATCAAGGCTTCCCGGAGTGTCATTTAGGTCGAAATAGCAGACCTTCCAAATGGGCCCACCATCCCTGGGTGCCACTTAGTTACATGAGCAACATAAATGTTTTTGTGATTCTTGATCTGAGAGGTAGTTCAAAAAATACTTGACAAGGGGATCCCTGGGTGGCGCAGTGGTTTAGCGCCTGTCTTTGGCCCAGGGCGCGATCCTGGAGACCCGGGATTGAATCCCACGTCAGGCTCCCGGTGCATGGAGCCTGCTTCTCCCTCTGCCTGTGTCTCTGCCTCTCTCTCTCTCTCTCTCTTTCTCTCTCTGTGACTGTCATAAATAAATTTTTTAAAAAAATTAAAAAAAAAAATACTTGACGAGTTTACGGATGCCACTGAGTTGCTGTTTCTCTGCTGTGTCACCCGACTGGCCCTACATCTCTTCCCAGTCCTGTGCTGTTTATTCAACTGACAGATGGAATCCCTGATGGTCTGGTACCTCATCAAGACACGGTGCTGGCCTGGGCTGAGCTGAATATAGACAATAATTAAAGAGATTTCCTCACCCGCCCATTGTCCCTGGATTCACATGGGTCAACCAAGCATGTATGTAACTCCTGCCACACAAAGCCCAGATGTGTCATAATAAAGGCATAAACAGTTGCTGAATTATTAATCTTAGTTTGATGAGAAGCTCTGGGTTCCTGTAATTCTCTCATTTCTTTGTTCTTAAATTAGCAGGGGTTTGGAATACAGGGGGAGAGAGAAGAACCTTTTTCTTTCTTGTTAAAAAGAAAACTATACCACTCTGAAATTTTGTCAAAGAAACACTGTCACTGTCCCAGCTCCTTAATATAGTTTAATTTTTTGCTTCTCTTTGACCTTTTTCATTTAAAGACATTTTATATAATTATAATGTATAGTTTTATAGTCTGTGTTTCTTACTGCCATAAACCCTCTTTCTTTTACTTTAATATGGTTTTACAATTGGATACTTTTTTCCCGTTGGTAATCCAGTATTTAATATATTTTTTGTTGGGGGCATATATTTTTCCAATTTCAATCTTAGAGATAATGCCACATTGAACATCTTTGATTCCTACTCCTAAAATTTAGGATGACTACATGATTTGTGATTCTTGATACAAGCTGTGGCTCAGAAAATATCCTAATGATGTCCAATGCCACCAGGGGCTTTACCTGCATTAGATGCTATAACTGAACAATATTGGCCTATTTAGTAGCTCTAAATGATACTTTGACCTTGCTTTAGTCTTCATTTCTTCAGTTATTAATAAAGGTCAACATTCTTCCTGTGTCTCTTTGCTCTGGGTATTTAAAGAGTTATCTTGAGCACTGAGCTGCTGGTTTTTAACAACCACACCCCACACACACATATACCTGGCGCCCAGAGGCGGGGGTTTGTCGCAGTGGCTCACAGAGACCCCACACATGCACGTAGCCTGAACAGAGCTCGGCCCACAACAGGCACACGCTGCATGTTTGTCTCCACATGATACAAAAGTGCACGTATATTACATCTCTCAACCTCTTCTCAGCCTCCAGGACGTGAGAAAGGACACTTGTTTGTTTTGTTATTGAACATAGGAGAGACAGATTATCATTTCAGCTCATCTTGGTGTAACTTCAGCGTTTTCACATGAACTAATAACCACACATAGAAATTAAACTGAAGTGTAATTATTTTATATGGTTTTAATTATATCCAGTCTATGTCTACAAAATCTAGAGATAAAAATCTTTGAAGTTAATTGTGTTGTTTCAGTTTCAAAAAATTTCCAGTCCTTATATGCCTTTATGTATAATACAAAAGCGGGCGCCTGGGTGTCTCAGTTGGTTAAGTATCTGCCTTCGGCTCAGGTCATGTCATGATCCCAGGGTCCTGGGGTCCAGCCCCACATTGGGCTCCCTGCCCAGAGGGGAGCCTGCTTCTCCCTCTGCCCCTACCCCGCCCCCCGCTCGTGATCTCTCACTCAAATAGATAAAATCATATATATATATATATATATATATATATATATATATATATATATATATATATATAATACAAAAGCATTTTTACCAGTGTTAGTAAATTCAGTTTAGCCTCTTAAACTAAAAAGCTCAAACATTGAAGATAATTGGTAAGAACTGGTTGGGTATTTTAGTTGAAGGTATTTTCCCCCTGACAAAATGGACTTTATGTCTTTGTTTCTGTTTGTCTTTAGGTGAAAAAGGCCTTCTTTGCCTTAGTAGCCAATGGTGTTCGAGCAGCGCCGCTGTGGGAGAGTAAGAAACAAAGTTTTGTAGGTAAGCATCGTGGACCTGGGGAGGAATCTGAAATGGGAACCTGAAAGAAAGCCTAAGGTATCCTAATTGGTGCTGGTTTGGAATCCAGCCTCGAAAACATATTGCCAAGCTGAAGAACTTTATGGCTTTTACGTCCTGGGTAAGGTGGGGGTCACCAGGAAATTCAAAACACTGAGTTTCTTTTTCATATTTGTCCAGCTTCTTTTGATTCAGTACCCTTTTGGCTCCCTGAAGGAGCTTACGTGCCTTTGCCAGTTCCCACAAGCGTAGGGAACAGGGTGCGCAGGGGACCCTGTGCCCAGACACCTGACTTCGGGCCTCTTTTGCTCACGTGTCCGTGCCTGAAGACAATCCCCGCTTCTTTGGCAGACACCTTACTGATGGTGCAAATGAAGTGATGTACATGTGATGGATGCCTGTGGTAAATCATTGCTCTCTTATCAGAAATATCCTCAATTCCATCATTTCTCATCTCACAGATCATAGCAGACAGTGATGTTGTCTCTCCCAGGGTGCATCACATTATTTTGAAATTACCAGTTTATGTCTGCCTCCCACTCTAGGTGACAGTTTCCTCAAGGACAAGTTTCTTATCTTCATCTTTGTAGTCCTGGCGTCTGGCACGTAGTAGGCACTTAATAAATAGGTGCTAAATAAATAAAGAACCAAGGTTTGTAGAGTACTTTTCAGGAAACAATCCAGTGCCCCCAGAAGTGTCATGTGTCTAAAGCTTTTGGAATTCCCTTACCTTATTTTAAAGCATTTTAAATTATTTACATGTAGCTGCAAGTCTTTTGTGATGTTTTATATTAGTAAGCTTTCTAACATTGAATTACCAGATACTATGGTTGATTCCTTTGTACTTAGTGTCAGGTTTAATTTCAGCGAAATTTATCTTAGTTTGTTGTAGATAATTAACAGGCTAATAGTCCTAAATAATATATAAGTAATATACTTTTAAAGTATATTTTAGAAGGTTTTCTGGAAACTATTCCAGGTTTGCTTATCATATGAAATTTTTCAGTTTTATATTTAACATATAATTCTTTGTTCCAGGAATGCTAACAATTACAGATTTCATAAATATACTACATAGATACTATAAATCACCCATGGTAAGTGCCAGAAACCCTATGTCAGTCATTGGAGCTGTATATATTTCTGTATATGTGCAGAGGGGTGGCGGTGCTGGTAGTTGATTTTTACAAATATATATAATGTGCAGGGCACTTCGGTGTAAATCAGTCACTAAATTTATGATCTTTAGCAGCAGCCTGGGCTTGTTGCAGTATTGTGACTGCATGGACCCATGGGTGAAGGCAACCCCTCACACCACCCTGGTCCAGTGGCTGTTGACGGCCTCTCTCGAGACGAAAATACCACCAAGTTTATGACCCCAGGCCTGTCGATTTGCATGCAGCTTCATGCACTGACCCCCCCCCCAGATTTTTTTTTTAAACAAGAACTATATGGACTCTGTGGTTAAAGAAGTAAAACTTAAAATTGGAGGAATTCAGTTTTGATATTTTTCTGCCAGTTACAAAAGATTGCTGCTGGCTGACTTTAGTGGGAGAACTCTCTGGTCCAGCTATTTCATAAGAGCTTAGTTTGAGAACCACATACGGCCTTTTATCTAATGCTGTGATTTTTGTGATTTTACAACTTGAGTTTTGGTTTTGGTTGGTTTGGGGAGTTGATTGCTTTTGTTTAGGGGTGGGAAGGTGTTATGTTTCTGCCTTTTTGGCAAGGATGGGCAAGGACAGAATTGTATATTTTGGGTATCTGAAAGGTAAAAGACATTTACCTTTTAATATTCTTTTTTATGTGTAATGGTTAATACTGCCCAATTATTAAATTTCTCCATAAAATAAGAAAATAAAACAGAACTCTTAGAGTTAAATTTTACCAAAGATCTTGTAAGTATCCCATATTTATTTCATACGAGATAACTGATTTCTTAAATACTACCAAATGCAGGGGAGTATTGGTTTTCTTATAATAGTCATATGTCTGCTTTTGAACTAGCAAAATCAACACAAGTATGATTATTAACTGGATATATTTTGATAAAACGCAACTAAACCCCTACTAAAAATCTCAGCAAGGGGCACCTGGGTGGCTCAGTCCATTGAGTATTTGACTCTTGGTTTTGGCTCAGGTCCTGATCTCGGGGTCATGGGATCAAGCTCAGTAGGGAGTCAGCTTGAGACTCTTTCCCTCTGCACACATGGTCTCTCTCTAAAACAAATCTTAAAAAAAAAAAATCTCAGCAGTAGTTAATTAAATCAAAATTTCTATAAAAGTAGTTGGCTAAAGATACAGCCCCAAGTTATTCTTTTTTTCGTTAAGTTATAGTTGACATACAATATTATATTAGTTTCAGGTGTACAAAAGTGAGTCAATATTTTTATATGTCACAAGCTGATTAGCACGATAGGTCTGGTTACCATCTGTCACCATACAAAGTTATTACAATTTTATTGGCTATATTCCCATGATTTATTTACGTTATAACTGGAAGTCTATACCTCTTAGTCCTCTTCACCTGTTTCTCTTGTCCTTCACCCCTCTGGTGACCACCAGGTGTTCTTTGCATCTATATTTCTGTTATTCACTTGTTTTTTAGATTCTACATGTAAGTGAAATTACATAATATTTGTCTTTCTCTGTTTGACTTATTTCACTTAACATAATACTCTCTATGTCTATCCACATTGTTGCATTTAAATGGCAAGATTTCATTCTTGTTTTATGACTAATATTCCAGTGTTTGTGACATCTTCGTTCATCTAATCAATGGACACTTGGGTTGCTTCCATATCTTGGCTATTGTAAATCATGCTGCAGCGAGCATGGGGGTACATATATCTTTTCAAATTAGTATTTGCAATTTTGTTTTGTTTTTCAAAAATACCCAGAGTGAAATTGTTGGCTAGTATGATAGCTATATTTTTAATTTTTTGAGGAAAGTCTGTACCGTTTCCCACAGTGGCTGCACCAATTTACATTCCCACAACCATGCATGAGGGTCCCCTTTTCTCTACATTCTCACCAACACTTGTTCCTGGGATCTCCATGGAATTTTCTGGTGGTTTAGCAAGGACTTTCCATTCTGTCTGGTCAAGATGCAACATCTTTCAGTGTGAGTATTAGCCTGGCCTCGTGTCCTTCACCAGACACACCCAGCTTAGTATTCAGTCAAAAATTCAAGGAGATTTCCGCACCGCCCTCTCTCGCTTTTCTAGATAGCTCCTCCTGTCTGGTTTTCTGCCCACAAATTCCACTTGGCTCCATCTCACCCAGACTTTGGTTTCTGTCTTCCTAACTCAGCGGGAGTGTTGTGCCCTGGCTGGGTCAGCTGCCCAGCCTGGGGAGAAATGTGGTGATTGGGGGATTGGTTTGTTTGCTTGCCTTCTCCCTGGGAGTGGCAGTCCCGCCCTGCCTGTCGTCCAGGGTCTGAAGATAGTTGCACATATTTTTTCCCATTTTCTAGTTGTTTGCAGCTGGAGGCTACTGTAGTCCTGTCCCCTCCATCATAGCCAATTGAGCTCCATTGATACTACCATACTCTCTGCACTGAACTTTTCTGGTTGGAATGTGGAATTTCCATGTCGACTTTAACTTAACACAATCTATTTGGAGTGAATACTAAACTTTTTACATAAAATATAGTTCTATTTCATCTGCCCCTATTTTCATTTTAAACAAAACGAAGAGTAAAAAGAAAAGGCATCCATAGCTTTTTATGCCAAGGTTCCTGGTACCTCTCTCCGCACTGTCTGGTGCGCCCCCACTGGCGCTCAAGGTCCCAGTAACCCCTGTCCATGTCACACAGTCGCACAGGGATGAACCATCACAGCTCTTGTTCATCCGACAGTGTCATGATTTCATCTTTATTGCCTGCAGAACACTTTTGCCATTTTATGGAAACTGACTTAACAGTTGTTTTTAACACTTTGAAGATATAATACTGTCTTTTGGCCTCCCAGTGCTTTGGATGAGAAGCGAATAGAAATTTTTATCCTTCCCTCCTCTGGATCGTACACCATTTCTTTCTGGTTCAAGAGCTGTCTCTTTCACTCTGTGTTTGATCACCAGAGGTCACATCTGGTTTCCCTTCTGTGTGTCCTGCTTCAGGGATGCTGCATTTCCATGATGTTCTGAGTTGGTTTTTCACCTAACTTGGGAAGTTTCTGACTACTCTTTCTTCAAAAATTTTTTCTATCTCATTCTTTCTCTTCTGGGACTTGAGTCACATGTGCATCAGGCCACTTGACACCATCCCACCAGTCTCTGATAGCACATTCATCTTCAGGCTTTAGTGTTATTGATTCTGCACTTGCTAATTCTCCTTTGGGTGATCTCCAGGCTTATTTTCAACCTTATTCCTATTGAATTTTCAGTGAGATTGGGAACTTACACTTGAAAGATTTTGTAGGGCCTTTGTAAAGTTTTCTATGGCTGATTTTCCACAAAACGGAAATGAACTGTTTAAAATTCTTTATTTAAATTCAATTTAGTTAACATACACTGTACTATTAGTTTCGGGGTGGAATTTAGTGATATATCAGTTGCGTATAACACCCAATGCTCATTACCTCACATGCCCTCCTTCATGCCCACTCTCCTGCTCCCCCCTCCAGCGACCCTCAGTTTGTTCCCTAGAGTTAAGAATATGTTATGGTTTGCCTCACTTTGTCTTTATCTTAATTTTTCCCTCTATTCCCCTATATTCATCTGTTTTGTTTCTTAAATTCTACACATAAGTAAAATCATATAATACTTGTCTTTGACTTATTTCACTTAGCATTATACTCTCTAGTTCTATCCACATCGTTGCAAATGACAAGATTTCATTATTTTTGATGGCTGATATTCCATTGTATATCTATACCACATCTTCTTTATCCATCTGTTGACAGACATCTGGGCTCTTTCCATATTTTGGCTATTTTGGACATCGCTGCTCTAAACATTGGGGTGCACGTGCCTCTTTAAGTCACTATGTTTATATTCTTTGGGGTAAATACCTAGAAGTACAATTGCTAGATTGTAGGGCAGTTCTATTTTTAACTTTTTGAGGAACCTCCATACTGTTTTCCAGAGTGGCTGCACCAGTCTGCATTACCACCAACAGTGCACAAGTGCTCCCCTTTCTCTGCATCCTCGCCAACATCTGTCATTTCCTGACTTGTTAATTTTAGCCATTCTGACAGGTGTGAGGTGGTGTCTCATTGTGGTTTTGGTTTTTTGTTGTTTTTTTTTTTTTAAGAAGCTATGTTTTTCTTCTTTTTTTAAAAAAAAAGATTTTTTTAATTTATTCATTCATGAAAGAGAGAGAGGCGAGGCACAGGCAGAGGGAGAAGCAGGCTCCATGCAGGGAGCCGGATGTGGGACTTGATCCTGGGTCTCCAGGATCACGCCCTGAGCTGAAGGGGGCGCTAGACCGCTGAGCCACCCGGGCTGCCCTCATTGTGGTTTTGATTTGTGTTTCCCTAATATCAAGTGATGTGGAGCATTTTTTTCAAGTGTCTGTTGGCCATTTGTATGTCGTCTTTGGAAAAAATGTCTTCTGCCCATTTCTTGACTGGAGGTTTTGTTTTTTGGGTGTTAAGTTCTTTATTGATTTTGGAAACTAGCCCTGTATCTCATAAGACATTTGCAAATATCTCCTCCCATTCTGTAGGTTGCCTTTTGGTTTTGTTGACTGTTTCCTTTGCTATGCAGAAGCTTTTTATCTTGATGAAATCCCAGTCATTCATTCTTGCTTTTGTTTCCCTTGCCTCTGGAGATGTGTCTGGTAAGAAGTTGCCTGTGTTCTCTAGGATTTTGATGGATTCCTGTCTCACATATAGGTCTTTCATCCCTTTTGATTTATTTTTGTGTATGATGTAAGAAAGTGGTCCAATTTGATTCTTCTGCATGTGGCTATCCCAATTTTCCTGACACCACTTGTTGAGGAGATTATCTTTTTTTTCCCATTGGATATTCTTTCCTGCTTTGTCAAAGGACCATAGAGTTAAGGGTCCATTTCTGGTTCTCTATTCTGTTCCATTGATCTCTGTGTCTGTTTTTGTGCCAGTACCATACTGTCTTGATGATTACAGCTTTGTAATAGAGCTTGAAGCCTGGAATTGTGATGCCTCCATAGCTTTAGGTTTTGGTTGGTTTTTTCCCCCCACATTCCTTTGGCTATTCAGGGTCTTTTGTGGTTCCGTACAAATTTTAGGATTGTTCGTTCCAGCTCTGTAAAAAGGGTTGATGGTATTTTGATAGGGACTGCATTGAACATGTAGATTGCTTTGGGTAATATAGACATTTTAACAATATTTGTTCTTCATTCCATGAGCATGGAACATTTTTCCATTTTTGTGTATGTGTGTCTTCCTCAATTTCTTTCACAAGTGTTCTGTAGTTTTCAGAATACACAGATCCTTTACCTCTTTGGTTAGGTTTACTCCTAAATGGTTTATGGTTTTTGGTGCAATTGTAAATGGGATTGATTCATTGATTTCTTTCTTCTGCTTCATTGTTAGTGTATAGATTGCTAGATTTTGAGTTCTTTGAGGTGGGGACTGGGTCTTACTCATCTTTGTGTCATACAGACACCCCCTTCCCCATCATCCCAGGGCCAAACACAGATGCTCATGTTAGTGGAATGGCATCCACCCTGGTGCCTGCAGCTCAAGGCCTGTGGGGCTGTGCAGGCAAAGAGCCGGGAAGCCTCTGCTCAGCTGAGTACTGCCATCATCTCAGAGCTTCCTAAGTGAGGTGCAGACCTAGAGGTGCTACCTGTAAACCGTGTCAAAAACCACATGCTTGAAGAACAAAACCTTGCCATTTGCAATGACATGGAAAGAGCTAGAGAGTATTATGCTAAGTGAAATAACTCAAATACCATATGATTTCACTTACATATAGAATTTAAGAAATAAAACAGATGAACATAAGGTAGCAAATAGATGAACATAAGGTAGAAAAAAAAAGAATGAGAGCGCACGCTCAAGAGAAACCATGAGACTCTTAACTCTAGAGAACAAACTGAGGGTTACCAGAAGGGAGGTTGGGGAGAGGGCTGGATGAGGGAGGGCATGAAGGAGGGCCCCTGTTGGGATGAGCACTGGGTATTGTATATAAGTGATGAATCACTGAATTCTACTGAAACCAGTGCTACATAGTATGTGAACTACCCGGAACTTGAAATAAAACAAACACCATCTTCCCTTATCCTCGGTGAAGGCTTTCTTCTCCACTGTTCATATTATCCTTCCGTCACCTATCATCAAAGCCAGTGTGGCCTGGCAGCTGTTTAATTCATCTGTTTAATCTGTTAATTCATCTCTGAACCTTTTGTCCTTCCTTCCTGTGGCCCCTGTGCCCCCACCGCTCAGCATTATAGACTTCACTGACCACCTAGGACCCGGGTTTCCATCTGGCTCTGGTGCTGTGAAAGCCACCTTCTTTGAGCTTCAGTGTCACCATTCTGCTGCTTGAACCCATCCAGGCTGGCCATTGGCCATTGCATGGTTGGGGCAGCATGTGGCTATGTCCCCATCCATCCTGCTCTCTAGCCCTCTGTGTCTTCACTGTGGCTCGAACAGGAGCAAGTCTCTGCATTCCGTGCCTTTTAGTTGAGTTTTTCTGCTCTATGTAAAGCCCATCCATCACGCAGGGGCTGGCTGAAATGTGCTACCTCTGTGTTTTCCGTGCCTGCCCTGTGTTCATCTCTGTGCGTCCCTGTGCACAGAGCCTTCTAGAGGATGGCTTCACACAGTTGCCTGTTGAACAGTGTGGCAGAATGTTTGTCAATAAATACTGTCGGGGTGCCTGGGGGGCTTAGTCGGTTGTCTGCCTTTGGCTCAGGTCATGATCTCAGGGTCCTGGGATTGAGCCCCACATCTGGCTCTCTGCTCAAGGAGGAGTCTGCTTCTCCATCTCCCTCTCGCCCTCCCCCTGCTTGTGCGTTTTCTCTCTCTCTCTCTCTCTCTCTCTCAAATAAAACTTTTTTTAAGAAAAGAAATAAAAATATAGAGGGCTGTAAATGTATTTTCTCTTCCTTATGGCTTTCTTAATCCTTTCTCTAGCTTACCTTTATCGTGAGAATATAGCATACAACACAGCATACACAATATATGTTAATCGACCATTTATGTTATCAGGAAAGCTTCCAGTCAACAGTAGGCTCAGAGTAGTTAATTCTTGCGGAGTTACCCATTACATGGGGATTTTTGACTGCACGAGGGTCAGCACCCTGAACCACATGTTGTTCAAGGGTCAGCTGTACATACTCTTCTTTAGTTGTCACTGGCCTTTTTATATAGGACTGTCTTAATGTTATTGCCATCTGGATTTTAAGCTTTAAGAGGAGGCCAGGCTTTCTGATCACAGGCATCCCTGTTAGGCCCAACACAATGCTGACATGGGCATAATTTTTTGAAAGGCTGAGCTGGGAGGGGAAAGCTCCAGAGGGGCGAGGTGGAGAACCACAGTGTGGTGGGGACCGCTCTTCTGATGAGTACTCTGTTTCCTGCTCTCTTGTGAGATGCTCACAGAAGCTGGCTTCAGAGGGCCTATTTAGCCAGTTGTTTAGGAAGGGAAACAGAGGGAGAGCTTAAATAATTTGGCCAAAAATAGCAACTAAGAAGTAATAAGGCTAGTGTTGATTTGAAACAAAGCTGAACAGCCCCAAAGTGACTTTTTCTTATACTGTGCCAATTAACCCTCTAGATATTTTATGCCCTTTCTGCCTTGGGGAAATGGGTCGATACAGTCAGGCATAAATTGATCTAACAACTTAATTTTAGCATGATTTAACCATTTGTCCTTTTTAAACTAGAGATGCTGAAAATTTTCTGTATCCTTAATAAAGAAGTAATGAATCTATGTCTCCATATGTGTTTTAAAACTTAAGTGTGGGATCCCTGGGTGGCGCAGCGGTTTGGCGCCTGCCTTTGGCCCAGGGCGCGATCCTGGAGACCCGGGATCGAATCCCACGTCGGGCTCCCGGTGCATGGAGCCTGCTTCTCCCTCTGCCTGTGTCTCTGCCTCTCTCTCTCTCTCTCTCTCTCTCTCTCTCTCTCTCACTATCATAAATAAATAATTTTAAAAAATAAAATAGAATAAATAAAACTTAAGTGTAAAATAAAATAAATAAATAAATAAACAAATAAATAAATAAATAAATAAATAAATAAATAAAACAAAACAAAACTCAAGTGTAGGGGTACCTGGGTGACTCAGTGGTTGAGCATCTTCCTTCAGCTCAGAGCGTGATCCCAGGGTCCTGAGATCAAGTCCCGCATCAGGCTACCCGCATGGAGCCTGCTTCTCCCTCTGCCTGTGTCTGTGCCTCTCTCTGTGTGTCTCTCATGAATAAATCAATACAATCATTAAAAAAAATAAACTCGGGCAGCCCAGGTGGCTCAGCGATTTAGTGCCACCTTCAGTCCAGGGCCTAATCCTGGAGACCTGGGACCAAGTCCCACGTCGAGGTCCTTGCATGGAGCCTGCTTCTCCCTCTGCCTGTGTCTTTGCCTCTCTCTCTCTCTCTTTCTCTGTCTCTCATGAATAAATAAAATCTTTTAAAAAATAAAATAAAAAATAATAAGTGTATCAGAAGTTTTTATATTAGGTTAATTTTTAATTTAAAGATTTAAAAAAAATTTTTAAGGTCTTATTTATGTGACAGAGAAACAGAGTGTGCAAGCAGAGGGAGCAGGATAGAGAGGAGGTTCCCCACTGAGCTGGGAGCCCGATGCAGGGCTCAATCCCAGGACCCTGAGATCATGACCTGAGCTGAAGGCAGAGCAGACGCTTTAACTGACTGATCCACCCAGGTGCGCTGATTTTTTACTTTTTACGTAATCTCTACACTCAGCATGAAGCTCGAACTTGCAACCCTAAGATCAAGAGTCGTACACTCCACTGACTGAGGCAGCCAGGCACCCTTAATTATGTTTTAAATTTAGAAATAATTTATCTTCAACGAAATGTAAAGCGTTTTATATTTCCAGTATTTCTGAATTATCTTTGTTTCCACCAGCTGAATTATGGAACTCTGCAGTAGTTATGAAGTAATTATTTTGTTATATATGTTAACATTTGTAAATAAGAATTTTTCTTATTTGCAGGTACAGATTTATGAATTAGAAGAACATAAGATTGAAACATGGAGGGGTAAGCACAATCGGGTGTTAAAAATCTTTTAATATCAGGGAAAAAATGTTCTGCTTAGCATGTAAAATATGTTTTAACATCACAGATCCTTCTCTCTCTGCTTAATAAGCTATATAGTTAACACATTCGTTTCTATTTTAATCTCAATAGTGTACCATAGTATTGTAAATAACGATCCATTCTGTTTAATGGACATTTCTGGAGAACCTGCAGCAAGTCCATATATGAGGCTGGGATGTAAGGATAGGGTCAACCTGCCTTGGGCCCCCGCCAAGCCACCGCTCACTTCTGAATGAGGACTTCCGGCCTGCACACACGTCTCTATACGGACCTTGAGGAGGGCTTATGTAGACGGCTCAGAGAAAAGCCTGGATAGAAATGGAAGGACTTGTAGACAGAAAAATGTTCATTAAAAATTGAAAATCCGCCTACAATGATAAGCAACCTTTATGACTAGCACCTGCAAAATCTGAACATCCATTAGAACTCTCTTAAGGGGCAAGGGGCTCTTTTAATTCCCTTTAACCTGTAAGTTCCATTGAATGACAGATATGATTTATAAAGGCTTTATCAAGTCAAACCAAAGTCCAACAATACGAGATCCATATCTTAGCACGGCCTGTTATGAATATACAACTTAATACCAAGAGAGATACTTCTTATCAAACTCTACTGTATCAGTAATGTTAGACCAAGATTAAAGTATATTTATAGTTTGATATTATATGGTATTCGGTAGTAATAATGCTAATGTCAAGATATTCTCGAGTGCTTTCTGTATAGAAACCTCAACAAGGCAAATTAATTACGGTGGATCTTTAGCAAGATAATTTGTAAAGACTACTGAGGTCCTCAGGATACAGATTTGAGCATTAGTTTGGTAAAATAAAATTTAGAACAAAAGTTTTAAGAGTGTTCTAACCTATGAAAATTAGTTTTAAAGGCTTTCGTGAGTGCTTAGTCTCTGGAGGGTGATAGTCCTTTGGTAGCCTTCTAGTGACCTCTGCTGGCACTGCTTTTTTTTTTTTTTTTAAGATTTTATTTATTTATTCATGAGAGACACAGAGAGGCAGAGACACAGGTAGAGGGAGAAGCAGGCTCCATGCAGGGAGCCCGATGTGGGACTGGATCCCGGGTCTCCAGGATCACGCCCTGGTCTGAAGGCAGGCACTAAACCGCTGAGCCACCCAGGGATCCCCTGGCACTGCTTTTTACACCCAATTGCTTGTCTTTGTCATTTTTACATCTATTGTAATACTGTTTTGAAATACTTAACTTTTACACGATGGCAGCATCCTGAAAACAGTTAAGTTGTTTAAAATAATCCTAAGTATGATTTATACAGTAGCATTCAGTAAATTAGATTTGATTTTGGTTTTTAATTCTTCTAACAGTTATCTGTAAAATGAAGAGTATTTTAATATTCCTTATGTGTGTAATAATTACAGACAGCAAATGTGTTACTAATTGCATATTTTCTTTCTATAAAAACAGAGCTTTATTTACAAGAAACATTTAAGCCTTTAGTGAATATATCTCCAGACGCAAGGTAAACTTGTAAAGTTTTTCTCCTTTGAAAACATTCTTTCAGATTCTTGTTTCTGTGATCAATAGATTTTTTTTTTTAATCTAGATAGGGGACAGCCTCCATAATTCCAAATATTAAATTCAGTAAATTTAGAGACAATAGCAATCAGCCATTGTTTGTCCCAGGGATCGATAACAGGCTGGGAAAGTGGTCATACTGCCACACAGACCATCGGGGGAACTTGTTAATAATACTGCCCATTGCTGGGTTTCCCCTGCCACATGGCCTCTGGAGGGTCATGCCCAGGAACGCACATTACAGCAGCTCCCCCAGGGGTTGACCGTCTGCCTCGGCTAGACGTTGGTCCAGAGGTAGTTGGGAGAACATGTGCCCCAGCATGTGACAGGTGACCCAGGCCTTCCAGAATGGCTCTGATACATTTCCACAGTGTATGAAAATATTCTCCAGACTCTAAGCACTAGCGAGCAAAAGTAGAATACTGAATTTTATTAGTTTATTTCCAAGTCCTAAAAAACAAAACAAAACAGATAAACCGACCAGCCTGCTGGTTGGCAGCCCCAGGAGAGGCCAGAGCAGTCCATCCGCTCCTGAGGGGCCTAGGCCAAGCTCCCTGTCACCTGGGCCTCCCTTAGTGGCCCTAGGGGTTCAGCCCTGCCGTTTCTTAGACAGCAGTGTTCAGTACTGTTGGAAACCACACTCTTAGAGATCTGTAGCTTGTGCTCATATCTGGAATTAGACTGGAAAATCAAAACATTTACTGAGATACCCAATTTAAAACTTTTCCAGAATACTGCTTTAAGTCCAGTCAACCTTTTGTTGCTCTGATGTGAAAACACTGAGAATGCTTCTAAAGCAGGGGTGGTCCAGAATTTTACATCTTTCTTTAAAGCCTCCTAACAACTTTGATGGCTTTTCCCACAGCCTCTTCGATGCTGTATACTCGTTGATCAAAAATAAAATCCACAGATTGCCAGTTATTGACCCTATCAGTGGGAATGCACTTTATATACTTACCCACAAAAGAATCCTCAAGTTCCTCCAGCTTTTTGTAAGTAGATTTTAGTGTTTCTAAAGACGTAGCTGCATCTACTTTAATTTACTTCAAGTAAATTGGCTCCTGTCACCCTCAGTAGGAGACGTTGTTAATTTTGGAATTGGGATTGTTAGGAGGTCTCCATTTCTCAGCTGCAGTTTCTCAACTTACTACTATTTAAATTGTACATCCTCCAAGTTGATTCCAATTAAAAAGCAATCGCTTTTCGGGGCAAGTATCAAAATAATAAAAACACTTGGAATTCTCTACTTAAGTTAGAATATTTTATCACCTAAAATATGAGGGCAGTAAAGCAATATACAAGTCATTCTAATTAAGAAACTGCTATGTGAGATAAATTGAGCCAATATTTATAGCAAATTGCCTTACGATGCTTTTATTGGTTTCATGGTTTTGGAAACATTTGAAAAATACTGCCCCCGGGATTATCTTACTGTAAATTGCAGTGACAGAAAAACACAAAGCAAATACAATTTTGGCAAGAGAGTACCATGTTGGTCCAAATTCAGGCTTTATTATCTATAGGTTTTTCTCAACTGCATTTGGAATGAGATGTCTTCTTATTCATAATATTGACCACTTTGGTCAATATTTAAAGAGGCTCGGAAGGACCAGAGTATTTACAAGAGGGCTTTAATTTTTTTTTATTTAGATTATATGCAGTGAATTTGAGATTAGAAGTAGTTGGTTAGCTAGGACCAATAGGAGGCATCATTCATGGTTCAGAAGAGATGACGTGAAGTCATTTTTTTTTTTTTTAAGATTTTATTTATTTTGTCTATGGCCATACCACCCCTGAATACGCCCAATCTCATCTGATCTTGGAAGCTAAGCAGGGTCAGGCCTGGTTAGTACTTGGATGGGAGATTTTACTTATTTTAGAGAGAGAAGAGGACAGAGAGAGACTTTTAAGCAGACTCCACGCTGAGTGCAGAGGCCACCAGGGGGCTTGATCTCACAACCCTGAGATCATGACCTGAGTGGAAATCACGGGGTCAGATGCTTAACCTACTGAGCCACCCAGGCACCCCGTGAAGTCAAAGAACTTAATAGATATTAAAAATATACATCACATTAGCTTCCCCATATCCTTCCATTAAGGAAGTAAAAGAGCATTTCTAGTGTGATACAAAGGAGCCAATGCTTCTTCTCCTGGAGCCCTGCCTCAATTTTGCCAGACAGAAGCACAGAGGGTTCGGTAATAAGGAGAAATCCCTTGTCCATCAAGCCACTTCTACATTTTAGTAGTTTACATGTAAAACTAACTCTCTTCATGGTTAAATAAATGCCAAGAAAGAAGGTAGGAAATTTAAACACGTAGAATAGAGATGGTGGGACAAAACACGTAGAATAGAGATGGTGGGACAATTAGGGGCGTATGAAGATTGTGGCTCAGACATCACCTCTGCTCGCGGAGCCGCCTCAGCATCAAGGCTGAGTGGGACCCAGGGCGGGGCCTACATGTGTCAGGCTGTTAGCCCCTCTACTCCTCAGAGGAATCACTTTAAGATAACGTTAATCATGAGAGCTATATACAAGCATTGATGACGTGTCAGCTACTGTCCTGAGTGCTTCACCAGACACAGCTAATCCACACCTCTGCCTCCCCAGGTAGGTATTTTTATTAATCCCATTTAATAGGTGGTGAAGTGACTTTTTGGGTCACCACTGGCAAGTGGCAGAGCAGTTTCTGAGCGGCGGCCTCCCTCCCCACTGCAGCCTTGCCAGCAGGGAGGCCCTTGCCAGCGGGCCGTGATGTAGCTCAGGCCCCAAGGGTTAAACCCACCCCAGGTCTCCCAGATGCCACGAGGTCCAGTCCAGCCCGTATTCATGGCCACGATGCTGCAGACCAGAAGTCCCCGCAGGAGGCAGGCCTTGGGGATTTTCTCTTTCATGGAGAGTAGAGGAGGATGCCTCTGCAATACTGCCTTATATTTGGGCCAATATGGTAATTAAATCCTGCTCTTAGAATATTCCATTAGAGGTTTTCAGATTAAAATACAGAATTTTATATAAATTTCAGAGCCTGATTTTTTTCTGAATTGAGATCATTTTCTGAGAAAAAGTGGCCTTAGCCTTGGAGACATTTGACAGTTAGCCTAAGCGTGGAATGGAACAGGGGTTATCCTGCATCACGATGGGCTAGATGACCTAATAGGTCTTTCTTTTTTTCTCTAAATTTCTAGGATTCTCATGATTTGAATATTGATGAACTCTTTGACTTGAACATTTTGTTTCTTCTAATTGTTCATCTTTTCCTGATAATTATAAGGTACACCAGGAGGACGGAACCAACCATACCCTTTATACAAGGTGGATTTTTGAAACCGTAGACCTTATTTTGTTTTAGTCAAACGTGACCCTAGACTTCTCTCTTCTGACTTCTCCCTCCTCCTCTAAAACAGCCCATGAAAAGAAAAGTGAACTTTCAAAGGTTCTTTCAATTCTGTTCAGCTGGCTTGTTCCTTGCTCCTAGTAATCACAAGCTGAAGTCCTCCAGAGGAGAGTGCAGGAGTAGGGTGGGACGGGGTGAGGACTAACTTAGCCGCAGCACAGACTGCTCCCACCAAACGCTCTGGGTTTGGAACTGTAGGGGTTCTTCACAAATAGTATTTAGTGCTGACGGCAGGACATAAGAGTAAAGGATTCTTGGTGGCTATGGGTCTTAATTTCCAAAGAGACCTCTTCTTCCCTCTTCTTTCCACATTTTCAGTGAGTGAAAGAGAAGGGAACATCACAATGTGCGTGCTCTACAGTATTTTACTAAGTAGTTAAATATAAGTTTAGACTTATCAGCCGATTTGAACAAGAACTACAATTTTTATATGTAACATTTCCATGTTAATTCAGCCATCTGGGTAGATTGGTAGAGAACACTAACTTATAATGTGTTATACATAGTTTTTCGTCCAAGTGTGGACATGTGAACATTATAAAGGTCTGTCTGGGCTCTAGAGCACTTGTATTTATCTTCCTGTTTAGATGTCTGATATGCCAAAGCCTGCCTTCATGAAGCAGAACCTGGATGCCCTTGGAATTGGGACCTACCACAACATCGCCTTTATCCACCCAGACACTCCCATCATTAAAGCCTTGAACGTCTTTGTAGAAAGACGAGTGTCGGCCTTGCCTGTGGTGGATGAGTCAGGTAGGGGGTTTGGTCACACGAGGGCAAGAGAGACCATGCTTTGTCTTCTGGGGGCAGACTTATTGTTAAGTGGTCAACTGATCAGATCAGGTGGGTGGTGGGCAGGGGTTGGGGATGAAAATTTAGATATGGCGGATCAAGTCAGCACCAAGGAACATTCAGGTTAATGAGAACTCTAAACTGGCTTATCTTCACATTTTCCATTAGGATGTGATTTCATGTTTATTTAGACAAATTTGTTATTTAGCAAGGTTGTTAATTGCTAGTGTCTGGTTGAGATGGATTTTAAATGTTATTTTTTGTTTCCAAGATATTTTTCTAACATATGTTTTCATTTTTAGGAAAAGTTGTAGATATCTATTCCAAATTTGATGTAATTGTAAGTATTTTTAATTTTGTCACACTTGTCATCTAGAATGTATTTAAAACATAGCTTTTCTGGATGTGCGGATCAGATTCCATAGACTGCCCATACTCATTGTACTTAGCGTTCACTAGGCTTAGCAGTAAATAACATATTAGCATTATATAGTCATCTTTTCAGTTCATGTGTAGTTTATCCATCACTGCAGCATGTGTAAATATCTTAAATTGCCCTATTTCTGTGTATGAAATGTTAATTCTGCCAACAGGCAAGTGCTTGGTGCACACATGATTTCGGGAATCCCTTGCTAGTTAGATCCCATTGTTTGCTGATTGGGAAGCACTATTCTAAAGAAGAAAGCAAAAGTATTGAGACTTAAAGTCCTGTTTTATATATATATATATATATTTTTTTTTTTTTTAAAGATTTGATTTATTAGAGCACATGAATGAGCAGAGAGTGGCAGAGGGAGAGGGAGAAGCAGACTCCCCACTGAGCAGGGAGCTCAATCCCAGGACCCTGGGATCATAACCTGAGCTGAAGGTAGATCCTTAACCACCTGAGTCACCCAGGTGCCCCAAAAGTCCTACATTTTAATCCCTGATGTAAATCTACTAGAGGTAGTGCTACATCTTTCCACTGGATGCTTGCTTTTCCTCATTCATTTTAAATGCACTTCCTTAGGGGCACCTGGGTGGCTCAGTCGGTTGAACATTTGCCTTCGGCTCAGGTCATGATCCCAGGGTCCTGGATCGAGGCCTTTATCAAGCTCCCTGCTCAGCAAGGAGTCTGCTTCTCTCTCTGCCTGTCAGCGTCCCCTGTTTGTGTTCTGTCAAATAAATAAAATATTTAAAAAAAATAAATGCACTTCCTTAGAGTTTTATGGTATTTCTAAGAAAGGGAACTGAAACTCTGATAGGCCCAACTGTGCTCATCATTTTTTGACCTAATGTTGGATCCCAGCGGTAAATATTTCTTTTCAGCCAGCTGTCTCAAACCCTTTTGTTTCATTTATTCTGCTTAACAATAACAGACATCAAAAAATAGGCTAACTGGAATCTGGTTGAGTAGGACCCTCTGAGGTTAAAGCCATGTGCATCTGGGGCCCGTCTGGCCTGCCCTTCCTCCATGATGCCTGATCCTGAGGAAACCCTGCTCCCTGGGCTCACAGGGAAAGGCCCTCGTTGCCAGCACCCTAGGGCGCTTCTTACCCTTTACAAATGTTAGTCCACCTCTCCAAAGACTTGATTCGCTCAGGCTATATAGAGCCTTGGGTGGGGGGAGGGAGGATTCTTCTGTAGGACATGTAGACACTATGTATCAAGGTTGCTCCACAACGAAGGTATACCTCATCCGTCTTAAGCTGTAGTTATTAATGATGAAATAACACTAGCGGCATGTTCTAACCTGTATCTAAACTGACGTAAGATGAACATTAATGTTTTTAAAGATCAGGTCCCTTTAAACTTAACTGATTTTGGTTATTAATGTAAATGGAAATAAAAGGACATAATTCATTGTTACTTTATTACAGAACCTTGCTGCTGAAAAAACCTACAATAACCTAGATATCACAGTGACCCAGGCCCTCCAGCACCGTTCACAGTATTTCGAGGGTGTTGTGAAGTGCAGTAAGCTGGAAATCCTGGAGACCATCGTGGACAGAATAGTGCGGGCTGAGGTGAGGCAGCTGGCCACACTCCTCCCTTCCTCCCTCCCCCCCTCCCCCGCATCCCTGCCCCAGCCTCCACACCAGGTACTCACTGGCAATGATGCTGCGGGACTGGGACTGGGAATCGCAGGAAAGCAGGTGAAGCAGCGGTGAGTCAGTCGGATATTGTGCCTTCCCTCTCCAGAACTAGCATGTTGCTTGACGCGTAGGCCTGGAAATGGTCATTGAATTGAACTAATAAGTAAGAGACTTTCATGATTTAAAAATACATAAGTAGGAAAACAAATGTCCCAAGAGCTTTGAGTTTCATTAGGGTATTTATGAATTTAAAGTTAAAAATGTGTGATTATATAGTTTTAACAAAGTGAATGATAAAATGTCTTGTGATCTTTTTAAGTTAATTTTCTCTGTCTCCTGATTTAAATAATAGTAGATGGTCTAATAACCACCTCCTGACCCTCAGCACTAAGGTGCCCTCGTAACCTTACTGCATGTAGGATTTGGGGATGTACTTTGGGTAACACAACTAACTCAGGATAACCATCCCCCCAAATCATTCCTTTCCTATTAGACAGGGATAGGAATGTTTTCCTGTTTATCAGCTCTAGGACTTAGAGGATGCAATCATGTTCTTTCTGGAACAATCCCCGAGTAGGCAGGATCTATTCATAATGGCACGTCTGCTCTGGTACTTTTTTATTTATAAACATGAGAATGCAGTCCAAGAAGAAAAGTCCCTAATAATTTCTTAGGCTCACAACAGGCGATCTTAACATGACATATGTAGGGGGTGGCATCAGAACACAGCCTCCGTTGCGGGAGCCATCAAACAGAAACACAGCCATGTTGTTGTCATTGAGTGTTGAAGACTTCCACCTTACCCTGTACTCACCTGAGGGGAGCCCCCTACCCCCCCTTACCACTGTCGTGGCTTTTGAAACCTATTTCACTAGCACCTCAATATGAACTCTTTACTTTTTCTACTTGAATTTAATATCCAGCATTCTAGTTTTCCAAAGAGTTTTAATTGACTTAGGAATACATCTTAACTTTTTAGTAAGGTCCTTAGAATTATGTGCCTTTGGAAGATCATAGGTAATGATCCTAATTATTCATAAGGACAATAGACATCCGTATAATGGAATCCCTACATAACAATGTAGAAGAGTTTTTGGTTGATACAGAAAAAAAACATTAGCAATGTATTAAGAGAAAAAGCCAATTACTGTATATAATATAATTCTATTCGTTTACATGCATCTATATAAGTAAAAGAGTGTAGAAGGACCCACAGCACGGTAATAACAGTAGCCGTTTCTAGGTGGCAGAGTTCTGGCTCAGGGGGAGAACATGGAGAATGCAGTGCTCCTCAGGTCTCAGCTGTCTTCTTTGAGCATGTATTATTCTCAGGTAAAAGAAGTAATTGGCTTGTCCTTTCAGTTCATCTGGCAAGCAACAGAAACTTCTAAGGAAATGGGTCATTGAGGAAAATAAAGCTGTAATTCAACACTTTACTCATTATGCCTCTTGACTTCTTAACCCATTAAAATAATTTCTTCCACCCGATGACTCCTTGCTGGTGGACCAAGGCCAGTTTTAGCTTAAATACAGTTGTTGGGGAAAGGGTTTCCAGTATCAACGATGATTTGGTTTATTTATATGACATATCACACCAGCTTTTTGATCCCCAAGAATATTTGCTAGTTTAGACTCAGCAACAAATGCCAAGAAAATATTTCTGGTCATCATTTCTGCCTGGTAGAATTAATCCTCCAGGTGAGTTGGCCGCCCCTTGACCTTCAAAAGAGTTATTTAATTAGCATTATTGAATGTTAACAGCAACAAAGTGTGTCACGTATAGACTATAAAGCATTCTCTGACCTAGATATAAGCCGTTATTTTAATTTATGATTTATAAACTATATAATATAAATTAAAATAATAGTTAAATAATTGTGTTGTATCACAGGAATATTGAAGACCCTAAATTTTTGAGAGAAACTTAAAGTTTTTTTTTTTTTAAAGATTTATTTATTTATTTATCATAGACAGAGAGAGAGAGAGAGGCAGAGACACAGGAGGAGGGAGAAGCAGGCTCCATGCCGGGAGCCTGACGTGGGACTCCATCCCGGGACTCCAGGATCGCGCCCTAGGCCAAAGGCAGGCGCTAAACCGCTGAGCCACCCAGGGATCCCCAGAAACTTAAAGTTTATTTAAGTAATCTCTATTTTCAACATGGGGCCCAAACTCAGGACCAAGATGAAGAATCGCATGCTCTTCTGAGCCAGCCAGGCGCCCCTAGGGAATCTTTTATAAATGATGTTGTCATGAGCAAGATAAGAAAGTAATTTTTTTTTTAACTCAAAGCAAGCTAGGACATGAAACAGCATCCCCAACACAGTATCAGAGATAAATCTAAAAACAGAATTTCCTTCCTTCCATCTCCTTCCTGTGCCCCCCATGGTGTGTGTTGGGGGGGTCTGGGCTACCTCAGGCCTACTTGCTAAAGCTCAGAAAACAAGCTCCACGCCTGCTGCCTCCTTCTGTGTGCTAAGGATGCTTTTATTAGAGAAATACCTCACAATGCTGGCTATTCCTTTATAAAAGACCTCAGTAGAAAATAAGATGTGGGGCAACCCTGGTGGCTTAGCAGTTTAGCGCCACCTTCAGCCCAGGGTGTGATCCTGGAGACCTGGGATCGAGGTGGGACTCGCTCCCTGTATGGAGCCTGCTCTTCTCTCTGCCTGCCTCTCTCCCCCTCCCTCCCTCCCTCCCTCCCTCCCTCCCTCCTCCTCCCTCCCCCTCCCTCTCCTTCTCTCTGTGTTTCTCATGAGTAAATAAATAAAATCTTTTTAAAAAAAGATGATGTAGGGATCCCTGGGTGGCGCAGCGGTTTGGCGCCTGCCTTTGGCCCAGGGTGCGATCCTGGAGACCCGGGATCGAATCCCACGTCGGGCTCCCGGTGCATGGAGCCTGCTTCTCCCTCTGCCTGTGTCTCTGCCTCTCTCTCTCTCTCTCTGTGTGACTATCATAAATAAATAAAAATTAAAAAAAATAAAAAGAATTAAAAATAATTTAAAAAAAGATGTATAAAAAAAGGAAAAAGAATCACGAAAACATTTTTTTTAAAAAAATGAGATGTGAATACAGTCTGTTTCACTTTGTTATAGTTCCTTTATCGTCTGACCTATAGGAACATATTAAAATATGAACCTCATGGAGAAGAGACTATAAAAAAAGGAAGAGCCATGACCTCTTCTGGATATCTTTCCCATGTAAATCTGTATCTGATAGTTATTAGAAACTGAAATACTTTAAAAATTTTAAAGCTTATGTTTAAGAATATCATAGTACTTCGTGTTTTGAGTTGTATCATTCATATATTCATATTCTGAAAGTTGAAAACAGCAGGACACAGCTGGCTAATTTTTCCTACAAGTAGTTAAAATCAGCATTGCATCTTGACTTTAGAGCCTAAGACTTTTCACTGTTCTATACACTGGTAATGTCTCTTACTTGCAGGATGGTAATCCCCTGATATGGTATGTGAAAGACATTTTTGCTAATATCCATCTTAGAACCTTCTGTAAACTTTGACATGTGACCTGTTCACTTGTTTGCAGGTCCATCGGCTGGTGGTAGTGAATGAAGCAGACAGCATTGTGGGTATTATCTCCCTGTCAGACATTCTGCAAGCCCTGATACTCACGCCTGCAGGTAGGTGCCGACTGCCTGCCCTCACCTTAGGGTGCCTGATGGGCAGGGGGATAGGCAGGGTACCACTAGCAGCTGCTCCCCACTGCCCACATAAGATCTTGGCTTCATGTGCATTCCTCTGTAAACTGTGTTCATTTGCCGTATGGTTGTCCTTCGTAGCTCCACTGCTCTAGTTGGGTGAGAGAGACAAGTTTATAGAACGTACCCTTGGGAGCCTCCGGATTCTGTGCCAGAGTCACCTTTTCCATGAAAAAGCTAAGACATCTCTAGTTTTGATTTTTAGGACTACTACCTGGAAAACCTAGGAGGGAAATTCATCAGATTCTAACTATTGAAACCATCATCTACCCTTTAAAAAAACAAAAAACTAGTGTTTTGAGTATATACAACAAAAGACCTAAACCCAAACTTTTTTCCATTAATACTGTATTGGAAATTACATTAACTACAAAACAGCATTGGTGGCTACTCTCATCATCTGCCAAACCAACCCTGGAGCACGCGCTCAGGCCACAGTGGACAGGGGAGGAGGGGGCTCCAGGAACGAGGGGCTGGCATCTCCTGTGTGCCGTGTTTAACAGTGACAGGTGGGCTGAAAGGTCCTAAAACCACCAGCCCTCTCTTTCTCCTCCCTGCTGCTCCCCTTTCCACCCCCATTAAGTACAAGCAGTCCAGCCTTGGGCCACACTGACCTGTGCCAAGACCGCAGACCAAGTCACTTCTAAGAGTCCGGAGTATACATCAAACACTAAAGTGCGCATGTACAAGAGAATTCTTCTTGAGTTTGGAAATCAAACTGGCCAAGACTAGGTTTCAGTCTATGCTCATCTTGAATCCCTGCCACCAGCAAGAAACATCACAGCCACCACATGAGAGCACCAAGGACGTAAGTCCAGTAGCCCAGCAGCACCTGGAGGTTGTCCATGGAATCGGAAACTCTGGAGATGGGGCCGTGTACAGTCCTTTTCAATCTCAGGTGGTAGGGAAACCGAAACTCAAAATAATCTTCATAATCATGAAATAGGGATAAAATGACTAAATGAATGTGAGGCTGTTGACAGCATTATCTGTAATAACCTAAAACTGGAAATAACCCAAACACCTCGCAGAAGCAGCAGATAGCCTTACAGTTGTTCTATGGGTGCCCCACAGCATTGACCTTGAACCTCCATTGCTCTATTCGACCTCACACACATGATAGCGAGCAGAGGAGCATGACCAGTCCAGGGAGTGTGATGACGCTCACAACTTACACAGCTCCTTCCTGCACAGGGGGAAAGGCCTCCTCAAGAGCAGACTCCTTGCAGGCACACATAACCTGGCACCTTCAGGAAAACACCCCTTTCCTGGGCAGCAGGCCACGGCCGAGGCACATGTTGGCCCAGCAATGTCAGGGTGAATGTCGGCCCTCCTCTGTCTTGGGGCCAAGATTCCTTATTTGCAAACTCGAGAGTAAACAAGTCAAGTTCTTTATCCTCTTTATGCCTACTGCCCCAGACCATAAGAATGAGAATGTTGGCTGGGACCCTTGGCTGGCTCAATCAGTGGAGCATCCGACTCTTGATCTCAGCTTTGTGAGTTCAAGCCCCACACTGGGTATAGAGATTACTTTAAAATAATTTTTTTTAAGTTTTTTCATTAGGGCACTGTGGTGGCTGGCTTAGTCCGTGGGCATCTGCCTTTGGCTCAAGTCATGATCGCAGGGTCGTGGGGTTGAGTCCTGCATTGGGCTCCCTGCTTTGCAGGAGTCTGCTTCTCCCTCTGCCCTTTCCCTCTGCTCATGACCTCCCTTCCTCTCTCAGATAATTAAATTTTTTAAAGTTTTTTAATTTAAAAAAATGAGAATGTTGGGCTGGATGCATTTACATTTCCATCCACATTTGATATTTTAAAAATTCCAAGTACCTAATACTCCTCTGTGGGGAGGAACCCTGTTCCACAGCCAGAATTTGAAATGTGCGTTACCATAGAAATAATGTTCTAAAGATAGTTGAATTAGAATTCTCTACAACATAGTGTGTAGAACACTATTTGGGAATATGCTCTGTGTTCCTAATAACTGCGTTATGAGTGAACATTAGGAGCAGAACTCTCCCGGAACTCAGATCAGCTCCTTCAGACGTTCACACACGTGAGAGACGGTGCTGGGTAAGCATCAGGCGAGGAGTCCAGCCCAGTTCACCTGACTCCCTCATGCCCTCAGAGCTACCTGAGTGTGGGCAAGCTACTCACCTCGTGTAGCCCCTGCCCATGCAGCTATGGAGAAAGCAGGCTGCCACAGGCCCTGCATCCCTCCTGAGGTGCTCTGAGTTGAAACCAAAACCAGGCATGGAGCCGTTTGTGCACGACAAGGCACCGCACCCTTGGGGAGCTGCACTGCTGGGTGGGTGTTTACAGACTAATTGGTAAAAAGCACTTTTAGAAAGTGTCCATCTTTACACGAATAAAAGGTACCACCAGAGGTTATTCTTTTCCACAGCTGATGGCCATGGTCTTCCGTTAAGGATACTGAGTTGCTGTAATAAGAGTTTCTTTAGAAGTAGCTGCTAGAAGAACTTAGGCTGTCCAAACGAACCTAAGTATATGCACACACGTCACTAATGAGTACATAGTCTGATGGCAGGAGCTACTGCTTTTTTAGCTCCTTATTTTTATAGACCACTAATCTCTCAAAAATTTTCTTGTGCCTGAAGATAAAATAGAAGCTGCTGTGAGGAGAAAAGTGGTAGCATTCCTACCAACCCGTTTGGAAATACGCCAGCCAGATACGAGTAGTTGTGAATGTGCAAATATCCATAAATATGTTTAATGCTTTTTTAAACATTTTTATGAGTATGTACAGGTGCACCTCAGAGATACTGTGGGTTTGGTTCCATTTGCAAGAAAGCAAATATTGCAATAAAGTGGGCCCAAGGAATTTTAAAACTAGAACCTACACGCCTTCATCGAGAGACACTTTATTGCTGAAACCTGCTGACCGCCATCTGAGCTTTCAGCGAGTCCTGATCTTTCTGCTGGTGGAGGGTCTTGGCGCCGCCGGGGGCTGAGCCATCAGGGTGGTGGGCGCTGGAGGCCGGGCGGCTGTGTCTCGTTTTATTCCTTAAAACAAGCCAACCGTGCAGTTTGCCGCATCGATGGCTCTCCGGGCACGAACGGTTTCCCTGCAGCCGGCGGTGCTGCTCGGTGGCCCTGCACCCCCCGGACAGCCGCCTTCAGAACAGTCCGTCCTCGGGCCCGCGGGGCTCCACCAGCTAAGCTGCTGTCCTGTTCCCAATCCTTTGTTGTCGTTTCAACCGTCTTCATGGTGTGTCCACCAGGAAGAGGCCAACTCGGGAAACCACTTTCTTGGCTCGTCCCTGAGAAGCACCTGCTCGTCCGTTCACGTTTGGTGCTGAGCTCGCGGCCGTTCAGTCCCTCAGCTCCACTCCTCGTCCGGTTCTCTCGCTGTTTTTTTGTTGCTCTATTTCGAGAACACAGGCACAGTAGACTTAGCATCATCCTTAAGGACCCTGAGATTTTCAGAATGGTCACCGAGCACCGGCTTCAGCCTCGTCACCAGCTGCACTAGCCCCTTACGGGAGGGTCAGCCTGGCCTTGGAAGCCTCGGAGCCAGGCACTGACCTCTCCTCTCCAGCTGTGAAAGTCCTAGCTGGCAGCTTCTTCCAGTAGAACCTGTTTCGTCTACACTGAAAATGTGGTGTTCAGTGCAGCACCCTCATTGGTTATCTTAGCTAGGTCTTCTGGAAAAGCTGCTGCTTCACATTGCACTTCTGTGTCGTGGAGGTGGCTGCTTTCCTTACACCTCCCTAACCAGCCTCCCCCCCTCAGACTTTCCTTCTGCAGCCTCGTCCCCTCTCAGCCGTCCTAGAACTGAAGGGAGTCAGGGCCTTGCTCTGGATTAGGCTTTGGCCTAAGGAAACCTGTGTGTGATCTCCTGCTGTGATCTCCTGTCAGAACCACTGCCACTTTCTCCACACCTGCAGTAAGGCTGTTGCTCTTTCCTATCATTCGTGTGTTCACTGGAGTAACACTTTTTTTTTAAGTTGATTTAAGTAATCTTCTACACCCAGTGTGGGGCTCAAACTAATGACCCCAGGACCAAAGGTCGCTCTTCCTACTGAGCCAGCCAAGTGCCCCTGCAGTAGCACTTCTAATTTCCTTCAAGAATGTTTCTTTCAAAAAAAAAAAAAAAGTTTCCTTTCATACAACTTGGCTCACTGTTTGGTAAAAGAGGCCTGGCTTTCCACATGGCTCACACCAAACTTAATCACTTCTAGCTTTTGATATAAACTAAAAGATGTGCAACTGACTGTTCTTTTCACTTGAACATTTAGGGGCCACTATAGTGTTGTTAACTGAGGGAGGCCCAGGGAAAGGGAGAGAGATGGGTAGCAGCTAGTCAGTGGAGCACTCAGAACACACACATTTATTAAGCTGCTCTCTTATATGTGTGTGGTTCGTGGTGACAACAAACAACCACAATAGTAACATCAAAGATCACTGAGGGGCAGCCTGGGTGGCTCAGTTGGTCAAGCTCAGGTCTTGATCTCATGGGTGGTGGGATCAGGTCCGACGTCAGGTTCCATGCTCAGCAAGGATTCTACTTGAAAGCTTCCCTCTGCCCCTCCCCTCTATTCCCCTTGCCTCTTTCTCTCAAGATTAAAAAAAAAAAAAAAAGTCACTGATTACCGTAACAGGTATAATAATGAAAAAGCTTGAAACACTGTGAGAATTCCCAGAATGTGACAGAGGCATAGAACAAATGCTTCAGAAGTTGAGCTGCTGTGACTGCAGGTGGGGGTGAGGAGCTTGGAGCCACCTGCTCGTTTCCCATCCCCACCCCCAACACCTAGAACATTCTCCTAAGGCACTGCAGAACCCCGGGAAGACCACCAAGGAGGAGGCGGAGCACCACTCCTGCTGGGTGTAGGACAGGCCCAGCTGCAACATATTTTTACGTTGCTTTGACACTTTCATTTCTCCATCTACCAACAGGTGCCAAACAGAAGGAGGCAGAAACAGAATGACCACTGTGAGTGGAGCAGCCCTTGGAGGAGAACTTGAACAGATTCGGGGTCACGCTTTGCCTCATGAACACGGACCGTGACAAAGACAGTAAAATGGCTAAGAATGTATATCAGGGTTTAGTGATGGGTATTTTTTCCAGTGATATTGAAACTGAGCATAAGAAACAGAGTTTATGTGTTTGAAGATTCAGGCTTGCGTTAAAGACTGTTTTCAGACGTTTGTCTGAACGATTTCAAATGCTGTATGTTATTAAAGTGCACTGTGTCCTGAAATTCTTATTACTTTTCATTTCAAAGAATTCACTGGTCTGTAACAGGTAATATGACATAAGGCGAGTGCATGGCCTATTCAGACCTAGTGCCTTATGTCAGAACACGCGATATGTCACCATTGCGGCCCGTGGCAGCTGGAGCCACACGGTGCTGGGGCGTGAGCGTCTTTGGACCTTTACCAAATCAGTTTGTTTCCATTAGATTTGTCGAACAGTTGTGATTTGGATATAAATAATTACTTTATAAAACTTTAACGACAGTTTTATGTTTAAGTGTCTGTTCTGAACTATAATATAAACAAAACTGCTTTACAACAGCTTTATTTATTTCTACTTTCATGCAGTTTTTTACACACTGTGGTGGGTAAGCTTCACCACACCCATCAATAAACCATTGGTTGTTATTTTTAAATGGCAAATTTCTCATTTAAGTTTGGATCTGGAAAGGACAGGACTTCTCAAATAGCCACTGTTAGGTTTTAAAGGGTGAAGTTTCTGAAAAGCACGTGTGGAGAGCTGTTCTGTGAGACTGAAACCAGGCAGCGGGTGTGAGGAAACAAAAGTGCCGGGAAGATGTCTATTTTTTTCTTGTGTATTGAAATGTAAAATCATAATGTTTGTATGATTGCTGATGCGATTGTTTTTGTAAATTTTATTGTGGCATATACAGTATTGTCATATGATTGAAAAGAAACACAACGTTTCCTAATGTAAGTGCTCTGAAAATGTCGACACTGTATATATATGAGTATAGTTTGATTTTTTTTGTTTGTTTGGGTTTTTTTTTTTTTGGCAGATTGAAAAATTAAAATAAATCTTACTATCAACCATTTTGTTAAAGTTCTTTAAAACACCATGTATTTCAACACACATTAATTAAAAACCTATATGCTGTTTCCCACTTAGATGTTTCTCCCCAAATGAAGGAGACTATGAATTCTCATTTTCCTGTTTACATCATCAGAAAAGAAGAACCCTTAATGACTTGATTCATAAACTTTATCACTTCTCCATTATTAAATAGAACATATTTAATTAAAAATCGATGTGCACATTTTCTTGTGCCCAGCCATCAACTTCTTTTATTTCCTACTAGGACAAATAGCATATGAGTCTGTTTCCCCAGAGAAACAACTATGGTTGTGACTTAGGTAATAGTTGGGAGAAAAGGAAAAAAGGCACAAAGCTACAAACACAGTGTTGCAACTCAAAACATCTGTTTGCCCTCCAGCCCGGGTCCGTGTAGCACACACGCGTGGGGACTACACCGTGAGCAGGTGTATTCTGTATGTATGTGTTCAGAAAACAACTTGGGGCCATTTACAAAGCAATGTGTTAACCCTATCTCCTCCCTGCACACCTGCAAGCCTTCGGTGCATCAGCTTGAGTGGAATGGCCACTTCTCAGACAAAGGGCTGCTCTCTGGGAGGCTTTTCCAGCCAGCGATAAAAAACTGGGTTCTAGTGAGTGTCCTCTCGGTGAAAAGTGGCACTTCAGCCAGATGCAGAAAGGATTCTACAGGAAAAGCTTCAGCTTGGGAGAAAGCACCTCACTGGCTGAGCCTGCAGCTCCCTTCTCTCCCAGGGCTCACAAGCAGGCGACCCTGGCCCAAGGGGCTCCCTGTGGCACCAGCTCTGCCCGCCCCACTGGGGCCTTCACACTGGGGGGGGGCTCACCACACCCAAGGCTCCTGAACCAATGAGTGACAAAAGCAAGAGCAGATCGTTCCACACATGGAGGGCATCCGTTGTTTTACATCCCAAATCTCTAAGAAAATTTAACAGGCTTATTGACCCGATATCCTTTTTTGATTCTCCTGCAGAAATCCTTCCAGAGAGGGAAGCCCATACTGCAAGTCAGAGCAGTGTTTCCGACGCCTGCGTGTGCAGACACACTCCTCTTCAACCACTGGTTCACCAGGAGAGATTTGGGACCCTAGGGGACATCTGGCAAAGTGGAGACCTTTTTGGTTGTCACCACTAGAGGTGAGGAGATGGGTGTGCACTGGCCTCTGGTGGGTGGAGGCTACAGAGGATGCCCACCCCCGCCCCATGACAGACAGTATCCAGCTCAATATGTAAGTAGTGAGGTTAGACACTTTGCCCTAAACAATTAGAATCTTTTGGGTATTTTGGTTACATTTGCTACTTCCTTACTGGATCCATCTGTCTTTGGGGAAAAAACATTCAGCAGGCAGCCTTTCTGGAAAGGGAGACAAAATAATCCACAGGTAGATTCCACAGGATTTACTTCCAAAGCTCTTTGACCAAAAAGAGAATTTTGCTTTGCATAATAGCACTCTCGGGAGAAAATTGCAACCCATCGGGAAACACTTGAAAAGTAAGTTTCACTGTCATTTTCATAAGGAAATCTAGAACAGGTTCCACATGTTTTTCACATAAAATTCCTGATAAAACTGGCGTAGTTGTAAGTCTATGTAAGGAGCATGCTTAAGACACATTCATAGGAAACCCCTAAAATCCCCTCACATTGTGGATATAGCCCGATCTTACTTCTTGGACTTAACACACTGCACAGAATGTACCTTAGATGCCGACCAGAGCAAGGACATGGTACGATTATCACTTGGCTCTCAAAGATCCTGAAGATCCTTCCTACAGGGAGGTCGGAGAAAAGCCAGGTACCTACTTCCTTCTAGATACTTGCGTGCTGGCAACGCTGCGGACCTCCACCTCCAAGGGACTCGAAGATGCGAACCGGAAGGCTCGCAGAAACACTGCTCTGACCAAGAATGGGCTTCCCTCTCCCGAAATCCCACATCACAATCACCTGCTCTCTTTTGAGACCAGAGCCTAAGGGGCACCTGCTTCCGGTAGCTAGAGATGCAGGATTAGTCCCACGCATCACAGTCAGGAGCTCCTGGCCCCTCCCAGTGTTCCAGGCCAATGGGAGAGTCCCCACCACGACAGTCCCAGCACGCAGGAAACACCGCCACAGGTTACTGGTGCCCATTTGCCACAGGCCGAGAGCCACCTCCTGTATGCCAGCCACCCTTCCTCCCACCCCAGTGCTCTGACCTCCTCCAGGCACAGAAGCTCTCCCTCCCAGCCCAGCGCACATGCCTGTGCCCGAAGGCCCAGGTTCCTCCCTTCCTTCTTACCTCCTCCAAACTGTATTTGAGGCACAGGAGACTGAAGAAATGGCCCAAAGCCAAGCCTTGGGCTGCTTGTGGCCACAGGCTCAGCTCTAAAGACCAAGTGGGACCTCCAACTGCCACCAGGCGGCCTGACGACCTCCAGGTCGGCATGGATCTGAGGACAGAGAGCTCCCCCTGCCCGTGGCACAGGCGCACCCGAGGCCCTCTCCAGTGTGGCAGCCCTCTGAATATGCTCCCTGGCCAACGAGGGCACCCGGGCTGTGGTGTCACCTCCCTTCTGGCCGCAAGGCCTCCGCATGGCCTGGCCGGGGGGGGATGGGGAGAGGGGCGCCCTCAGGAACCGGAACCTCTCTTCCTCTCATCTCCCTGCTCAGAACCCAGCAGGGGCCCCTCAGTGGGGACCAGGCCCCCGCCGCCCTCTCCACCCGCATGCCCCCGCCCAGGCCTTGCCCACCTGCCCACCGGCCTGACTGGTCCCCACCTCCCTTACCACCTGCAGATGTTCAGCTGCTCTCTCCAGGCCCGAGTCACACGCCGCGGCACCACGGAGGCCCCCAGGACTCCCAGGACTCTCCACGGCCCACGGACAGACGGCCTCCCGACGGCCCGTTCCACCCTGCTCCTTCCCGGACAGCGGACGGTGGCGCCAAGGGTCAAATGCGTTTCTCAGCACTGCCGTGCACACCAGGAAACTGCTGGAAAATCCCCTTCCTGGCCTGGCCTGGCCCTTCCCTGGGCAGAGGAAGAGATGGACAAATGCGTGCGTGCACACGTCCTGTTACCTGTAAGACTTCTCCCTGAGCGCTGGAGGGCCCCAAGTGTTAGTGGCCGGCGTTGTCCTCACCGTGTCCCTCAACTGGCACCTACTTATCCACACACTCTTACTCGGGCTCATCTCTGGGCCGGAGGGGTGCGTCGTGAACGTCTGTCCAATGTTTGATGATGAGTGGTTGGACAAGGCCAGGACATCAACAAAGATCGAAGATCGTGAGGCTGGTGACATGCCCAATCACCCGAACCTGTTCCCCTAAGTGGCCAGGGGACCTGCTAAAGGTGAAGAGACGCCACAGAACATGGAGCATCCTCCAGAAATTCAGGGGCGGCCGTCTCCACCTTTAGCCTTAATATTTGAGTTCTGACACAGGGATTCCAGAAGACAAGACAATGCAGAAGGCAGGCTCTGGAGGGCGAGCGCCCTGCTCCTGTTCTAACGAGGGGCTGTGCACACCCATGGTCGCAAGGTCTCGGGGTGGGGGGGGGGGTGCGGCGGGTCTGCCCCAGGTGGTTGGGGTGCCAGGGGCTGCCAGGCAGAGCATGAACAGCACGAGGGACAAGCTCCCTCCCCGGGAGAGGAGAATGGAGAAAAAGCAACACCGGCTCCAGGGAGCTGGGAGTGGATAAGAGCAGAGCGACATGCACCAAGACAGCCCCTTACCCCCAGAGAAGGAGCAGAGGATCAGATGAGCTCATCCCTGAACTTCTTAAAATCCAGAAGCAGCCATTCCATGATATTTTGAGAATTCCCATGTACTGTTTTGCGTCTTGTCTCCTTTATAACAGCTGAAACAATTTCCAGAAACTTCCAAAAAAAAAAAAAAAACAGTTCCATTTGAGGAACAGCCTTTGGAATAACTCCCAATCAGAAGTGGCAGGAGGGGGAATCCCTGGGTGGCTCAGCAGTTTAGTGCCTGCCTTTGGCCCAGGGCGCGATCCTGGAGTCCCGGGATCGAGTCCCACATCGGACTCCCAGTGTGGAGCCTGCTTCTCCCTCCTCCTGTGTCTCTGCCTCTCTCTCTCTCTCTCTCTCTCTCTCTCTCTCTCTATGTCTATCATAAATAAATAAATAAATCTTTATTTAAAAAAAAGTGGCAGGAGGAAGGAGGGGGCAGGTGGGTGGTCCCTGTTCGGGAGATTGCCAGGAAACCAGCCTGGAATGGCAAAATCCCAGTTACTTCTCAGGACCCCATCAAAGAGAAGACTTGTCTATGTAGATCAATTAGAATTCAATATTAATTTATTTAGCAACTACTTTGCTGTGCACCAAGCACCTACCATGGGCCTGCTGGGCACTATCCACGGGGTCTGGGCCACGTCTGCCAACATGACAGACCTCTCCCCTCAGGAGCTTACACTCTAGTGTGCAAGCAGAAAAAAGTAGAGCAACATCACAGAATCTTAAGTTCCAGCTATTTCCTCTTCCCAGAATGGCCCCCCGGCCCCCACCCTAGACTTCAGCTCAGCCACCTCCCTCACCACCTTCAAATCTCGCTGAGATCTCACCTTCTGGATGAGGCCTATCTTGCCCACATTCTATTAATAATTACTAGCGCTACAAATAACAACAAAGCACAGGAAAAGAAGGGGGGAGGAGAAGCTATAAACTATTGAGTGCTTTTCCTGCCAGGCACTCTCCGGGGCCGGCACACGTGGTCTCAGATCCTCACACAGCATCTGAGGTAGTCGGTGTCGGCACAGAAATGGAAACCTGGGGACGCCTGGGTGGCTCAGTGGTTGAGCATCTGCCTTTGGCTCAGGTTGTGATCCCAGGTTCCTGGGATCATCCCTCCGGGGAGTCTGCTTCTCCCTCTGCCTATGTCTTTGCCTATCTCTGTGTTTCTCTCATGAATAGATAAAATATTTTAGGGGAAAAAAAAAGTGGTAACCTGGCCAAGCTGGTACCACTTGGAATTTGAGGACTTTGGGACTTGATAACAGGCCTCCTTCCAAAGCCCGTGCTCTTAACCCCAGTTCTAAACAGCTACTGTGGGTTGAGTTGTATTCCCAAAAAAGATTTGCTGAAGTCTTCACCCCCAGTGCCTGGGAACGTGGCCTTAACTGGAAACAGGGTCGCTGCAGATGTGATCAAGCTCAGTGAGGTCACACTGGAGTAGGGAGGGCCCTTCTCCAACAACTGTGTCCCTATAAGGAGAGGACACACCAGGAGAAGGCCCTGTGACAACAAGAGCAGACTGGTTGGTGTGACAAAGCTAGGTACCGAGGAGGTGCAATAAAAAGAGGTTTTAAAAACTTTACAAAACATTTTTTACAGAAGTAAGCCATTTGCTTTCTTTTTAAAAATAACTTTATCTTAACGTAGACACAAAATCAAAGTTCACGAAGGGAAGGGCGCCTGGGTGGCTCAGTTGGTTAAGCATCATGACTTTCGGCTCAGGTCATGATCTCAGGGTCCTGGAATCGAGTTCCACATCAGACTCCCCGCTCAGCAGACAGTCTGCTTCTCCCTCTGCCCCTCCCCCGGCTTGTGTGTGCTCTCTCAAATAAATAAATTAAATAAATAAATGAAAAATGAAATATACAAAAGGAAAGATACAACAGAAAATAAAAAGCAGACATGAGGTTTCTCAAATGGCGACAGAGGTTCATCTTCTGGTACCCTGAAACCATTTGCTAGAAATAGGGCACGCTACTATTATTAGCACATTGAAAGGAAAGTTGTCTTCAAAAGTAACCATATAATAGACTGCAAACATCTTAACACACTTAGTGATGAATAATTAAGATTTGTTCATTATACTTGTGCACCTGATGGTTCTATTTATCATACTATACATTAGTTGACCCAAATGCTATTTTTTGAAATAAGCTTTTTTAAGAACTGTAAACAGTTTTTAAAAGAGAACAGCGTGTACTTTCTTCTATTATTTGCAAATTGCCTCGAGGAAGAGTGGTCCCCACCTCGGTTGGTGAAGCTGATAGTGTGAGCCAGTGGGGAGCACAGCCTGCAGCGCAGGGAAGTGACAGGTCGGCCTCCCCATAGAAGTGTCCTCCATCCTCCGCATCTTGAACCCTCCTGTAGACTCGGTTTTCAGGGGACAGTCACTGAGTCAAGGAACACTGACCTGGGGGGCAGCCCTGCTCCCCCTAACCTCTCGCTCAGGTCCCTGTGAGGCACTGACCCCCCCAGGAGCCCCTCACCATCCATTCCTCCGGCTGCCCGGCCTCATCATCCAGCTGCCCGGCCTCCTCATCCTGACTCCACTGTCCATGCCAGACACTACCAACCCCCACCCTTGTCCTCCAGGAAAGCGCCCCCCCCCCCGGCCAGCCCCCACCCTGTGCACCTCTCCATCCTGCATGGCCCTGACTGATTCCTACCCTGGCAACCCCCCAGGGCCTTGCCACCCCTCCCTATAGGGCCCTGGCGGGCCCCCAGCTGTCACTTCTTCATGTGTTTAGTCTTCCATCATCTACCATTAATTCATCTTCAAATTCTTTGCAAGAAACGCTAGTCTCCTCACCCTGAGTTCAAAATCATGAGGTAACCCATCTGTTCCCATTTTCTTTTTTTTTTTAAGATTTATTTATTTATGATAGACATAGAGAGAGAGAGGCAGAGACACAGGAGGAGGGAAAAGCAGGCTCCATGCCGAGAGCCTGACGTGGGACTCGATCCCGGGACTCCAGGATCGCGCCCTGGGCCAAAGGCAAGCACCAAACCGCTGAGCCACCCAGGGATCCCCTGTTCCCATTTTCTTAAAGGTATCACTCACGAGACTTGCTGTCCTCCTGCGTCCATCAGCACTAATGACTTCTAGACCTGCTGCCCGGCCACATGCTTGTCGACTTCATTCTTTCAAAAACCAGCATTTTACTTTGTTAATATTTGTTTTCTGTACCTTTCACTTCAGCTCTTTATTTTTCCTTCTTTCTGCTTTCCTTCAGTTTATTACTTTCTTCTCCTAACTTCTTAAATGGGTCATTAAGCTCAGCAAAGTTCAGCCTTTTTGTTGTTGTTGTTCTAATGTAAGCATTTAAGGTTAACTTTTTCCCTTTTGTGGCATCCCATATACTTCCATTTGTAGCATTTTTACTGTCAGCTTAAACAGTTTCTAAATTTATGATTTCTTGTTGACCCATGAATTATGCAGAAGTATATCTCCTACCTTCCAAACGGATAGGGTTCTCTATGTTCTGTTATTGATTTCTCACTTGATTGCATTGTGGTCAGAGAATGTGGTCAATAGGAGTTCTTGGAAATGTGTTGATGCTTGCTTTATGACCCTCTACATGCTCAATATCCATAAATGGCTTATCCCCATCTGAAAGAATGTGTATCCCTTTTCATTTGTTGAGACCATCCATCCTTACTGATTGTTAAAGATGATTTCACCTGGGTCACCTGGGTGGCTCAGTGGTTGAGCGTCTGCCTTTGGCTCAGGTAGTGATCCTGGGGTCCGGGGATCAAGTCCCCCATTGGGCTCCCTACAGGAAGCCTGCTTCTCCCTCTGCCTGTGTCTCTCTCTTTCTCTTTCTGTGTGTCTTTCATGAATAAATAAATAAAATCTTTAAAAAAGTAAATAAAAATAAATAAATAAAAATAAAAATGATTTCACCAATCAACTACTAAAAGGTATTAAGGTATCTTATATGATTTCAATTTCTCTTTGCAATTCTGTCAAGTTTTGCCCAACATATTTTTGCATAAACAAATGTTACTGGTCATGTAAAAGTTTAGAACTGTAATATGTTCCTGGTGCACAAAACCTTTCATCATCATTTAGAGATTCTCTGTCCACAGAGATCCACTTAAAAACCTATTCTGGAAAAAAATTTAAAAAAATTTTTTTTAAAGATTTTATATATTTATTCATGACAGACACACAGAGAGAGGCAGAGACGCAGGCAGAGGGAGAAGCAGGCTCCATGCAGGGAGCCCGATGTGGGACTCGATCCTGGGACTCCAGGACGCAGGATGCTAAACCACTGAGCCACCCAGGGATCCTCCGGAAAAAATTTAAAAATTTAAAAAATAAAACTATTTTGGGTCGGGCAATTTGAACGAGATGAAGATGGGACCAAAGCCAGGCACAGGCAGTGGACACGGTCCTGCTGAGAGCCGAAGTCCATCACCAGTGATAACCTAAGTCAACATGACATGCTGGCCTGCATCAATGAGTCTCTGCAGCTAAATCTGACAAAGATCGAACAGTTGTGCTCAGGGGCTGCCTATTGTCAGTTTATGAATATGCTTTTCCCTGGCTCCATTGCCTTGAAGAAAGTGAAAATTCCAGGCTAAACTAGAACATGAACACATCCAGAACCTCACAATACTACAAGCAGGATTTAAGAGAATGGGTGTTGACAAAATAATTCCTGTGGAGAAATTAGTAAAGGGAAAGTTTCAGGACAATTTTGAATTTGTTCAATGGTTCAAGAAGTTTTTTTGATGCAAGCTATAATGGAAAAGACTATGAAACCGTAGCTGCCAGACAAAGTCAAGAAACTGCAGTGGGCAGCCCGGGTGGCTCAGCAGTTTAGTGCCACCTTCAGCCCAGGGCCTGATCCTGGAGACCTGGGATCGAGTCCTGTGTCGGGCTCCCAGCATGGAGCCTGCTTCTCCCTCTGCCTATGTCTCTGCCTATGTCTCTGCCTCTCTCTCTCTCTCTCTCTCTCTCTCTCTCTCTCTCCCTCTCATGAATAAATAAATAAAATCTTAAAAAAAATAAACTAAAAATAAAAAGAAACTGCAGTGGTTCCCTCCCTTGTTGCTCCAGCTCTGAACAAAC